ATGTGGGCCAGTGGCAGGATGGGAGCCGTCGGGGTAGGCCCTGGCTGTGCTGCGCGCTGCAGCCAGCTCCCAGAGACACGCAGCCAGAGCTGAGCTGCTGCGGCCCTTTAAAATCAGCGGGGCCAGGTCACGCCAGCATCCTGGCGTCCTGCCCCACCTCCTCGTGCCGGAGCTGCACGCAGGCAGCCCGGTGGGAAGAATCACTTCACTTCCCCCTTCCCAGCAGCGCTGTGCTCCTCCGCCGGCCGGCGGATCGGATGGGGCGTGCCGCCCGTAGTGCGGGCTTCCACCAGCCTGTCAGAACTGCCCACCGGGCCAATCCGCCCCTGAACTCGCCAGCTGGAAAAATCTACTCGCTGTGGGCAAGTGCATTTGTCGAGCCCTGCTCATATCTGACAGGTGCTAGAAATGGTAGAAACTGGTTACTCTATCCCCTTTCTTTCCAACTCCTCTCTCCACACTCCCTTTGGATCACTCTTCAGAGATCTCTCTTCAGAGTATCCACTGCGCCAGGAGTTGAACCATGTTATGCAGCTAGGAGCAGTAGAATCTGTGCTAATGAAACAGAGGGGAAAAGTGTTCTATTCACACTATTTTTTCCACAGAGGAGTCCTGCAGATGGAGGCCTTTTGTGTTTGTGTACGCATGAGAGAAATTTTTGAAAAAAGTTTGGACACCCCTGAGTCTTAATCGCTTGTGGGTTGGTGGCCTTTTTCATGGTGGAGGGATAGTTTTCTTGTATTGGGAGTGAAAAATTCACAATCCTCATTGATGTATTAAGGTATCTAATCAAATAGGTGACTACCAATAAGCCTGATCATGGAGTCCTGCTCAGAACAATAACTTTAATATTAAAGTGCAATTATTAGGTTGTGTTGGTTAAAATGTATGCATTTATTTTAAGAAACTTATTTGAAAATCAAGTATTTTAGACTGCCTAATTAAATACCTTTAATACTGGTACATGGCTAAAACCTAATTGTAGGAAGAGTACCCAAACTTACTGAATGAGCTACTAGTTTGAAATCTAATTTGTGTCAACCAGTTTCTCTATTTGATTACAGAGTTTGAAATGCAAGTGATTAAATTACAAGAATCTGCTCAACAACTTGAAGAAGCTACTGAGGTAACTTTTTTTTAAGAGAAGTAAATTCACTGAAACGATCTGCTTTAATTATTCATTCAAAATTACAGTAGCTTAATGTCTAATTTCATAGTGTGCTTCACCGAATATGCCTAGCACTACTAAGTTTTGTTTCTCATTGCATGTTTGAGTATAAAAGATTTGGAATTATATTACAATGCATTCTGTTATCTAAAACCTAGTAAAATGTAGTTTTTCTCTTTTTAAAGAAAATGACGATACAGAATAAACGAATTGAAGAGCTCATGTGCATTGTGGAGCAAAAAGATGATGCTATAAGTAGACTAAAAGTTTTAATATGCCATTTAGAAACTACAGTAAAAGACTATGTAAGTTTGTTTGCATCTTCATTTCTTAAAATGTACAAAACTTATCTGACTTTTTAAATGCATGTAATAACTGCTTAAAATATGGGAACAAAGTAGGAGTAAATAATCAGGTCTTGTAATGGAGAGAGGTAAACAGCAGTGTCTTGTCCCTCAAAGAACTGTAGTGGGACCTCTGGTATTCCAGATATGCATAATGGGTCTGGAGAAAGAGTGCAGTGAGGTGGCAAAGTTTCCAGATGATTTAAAAAAAAAATTCTCAGGATAGTTAATTCTTAGCAGTCCACTTTACACTTACAAAGGAATTTGTCGAAATTGGGTGACTGGGCAACAGAATGGCAGATGAAATTCATTGTTGATAAATGCAAAGTAATGCACATTGAAAAATATAATCCTAACATAATCACCAAAAAAAAAATTAATAGGGGTCTAAACATAATCCTAACATAATCACCAAAAAAAATAATAGGGGTCTAAATTCGCTTTTACCTCTCAAGAAGAGATCTTGGAGTCATGAGTTGTTGTTTGTTCTTTGGGTGATGTCCCTGTGGGTGCTCCACTCTAGGCAATGAGTCTTTCCTGGAGCTGCAGGTTCAGAGACCTTTTCATAGCAGGTAGCAGTTGGGCCATGCATGCGCAGTGAGCCTCTCATGCTGCTGGCAGTTTGACAGTTGAGTGCAGCCCGAATCCCCTTCCCTCAGTTCCTCTTCTTCCGTCCTCTGTTGTGAACGGAGCTCTCCTGCCATCTCAGGTGCTTCTCTCCTCACAGAAATATTTCACTCTCTTCACAACCTTTTGATCTCATTTAATTACAGATTGCCTTGTTACTTTATTTCCACTTCAAAGAGACAAACAAAACAAACCGGGGAACACTGTTCAGTCAGCGCTAGCTGCTTCAGAGGCAGCGGCTCCTCTCTGCGCCAACTGGTTTCACTCTTTTAAAAAAAGAAAGAAAGAAGAAAGCCGGGGTGAAGGGGAGAAAAAAGATCAAAATCTCATAAAACAGCTGCCTTTACCCACGAGCGTGCCAACAGTTGAATTAAGAGCCCCTCCCCTCAACCCCCACTGCCAACAGCTCTAATATACCTGGCTCGCGGGGGGTTAAATGCTGCAGCTGCAGAAAATCCATCCCATCTTCAGATGGTCATAGCTGCTGTCCCAGATGTTTGGGGGAGTTACACATCCCACAAAAATGCAAGCACTGCAAAAACTTGTCTGCCAGAGCAAGAAAGGACTGGGAGCTTAGGCTCCGTATGTCCCTTATGGAGAAGCCGTTACAACCTCTAGCAGAAAGTGTGCGGGATCAAGGGGCATAAAATCCCAAGCGCAGATTAGCCTCAAGGATATCAGCTGACTAGGGTCTCTCCTGCCAGGTCTTTGCCACCTGATCTGTACCCCAGAATAACCACGGAAGATGTGGCGACCAGTTCCGTGGTGCCGAAGTCTGCCTCTGAATCACCTGCTCTGGCCCCGAGCATGCATATAGGAGCCACACGCTCACTCTCTGCACTGGGGAAAGCGCCCAGACAAACTCCGGTGCCAAAGCAAGCGTTTACACGTGCAGCACCGGCTAGAGAAGCAGAACCAGCTGCAAAGCGGCCCTGCAAATCTTCGACACCACCACTCAGCGTGGCGGCTTCTCCAGTGCCTCCCCTCTACAGGCTTTCAGCCCACAGACAAACCAGATGTGTTTTAAAGGAAACAAACTGCAGGGGACTCAGGGAGAGTACTAGTGAGCAAAGACAACCTGCCCCACTCCCATCAAGGGAGCAGTCTCTGGCACTGTACCCATCCTATTCACCACCACAATATGGATATGGGTGCTTAAAGGAGATCATTATGACCAGAGGAGTGCATTCTCCTTGCAGCATTCACCTCCCACCCCATCTCAGCAGGGGCATCACTACGCAGCATGCCCGTATCACCCTCCATGGCAGCCAAGCTTGTACTATCCACCACCTCATTACCAGCCGCATTGGGCACCCTGAGATGATTGGGAACCACCTACATTCCATTCTGCTACCCCATAGTCACGGAAAAGGCTACCACCAGCTTCACCATCCCACACTATTGGATCCATGCCAGATTCTGAGAAGGACGGTCAATTACCGGGCAATCAGGACAATTCTCAGCTGGTGCAGTCAGAAGACAGTCCCCTTTCCCCTCTGGAGGAGGTGATAGCCCTTGAGGATGTGTGCTGCTTACTGGGAGCTCGCATTCAGGATGTCACTGAGAGGCTTACCAAGCTGATCAAACCTTCGGATCGCTACCGCTTCCTGCTTCTCCACGTGGGAACTAATGATACGGCCAAGAATGACCTTGAGCATGTTACTGCGGATTATGTAGCGCTGGGAAGAAGGATCCAAGAATTCGGAGCGCAAGTGGTATTCTTGTCCATCCTCCCTGTTGAAGGGAAAGGACTGGGTAGGGATTGTCGAACTGAGGATGTAAATGTGTGGTTGCGCAGATGGTGTCGCAGAGAGGGCTTTGGTTTCTTCGACCATGGGACTCTGTTCCGGGCACGAGGATTGTTAGGAAGAGATGGGATCCACCTAACAAAGAGAGGAAGGAGCATCTTCGCGGGCAGGCTTTCAAACCTAGTGAGGAGGGCTTTAAACTAGGTTCGTCGTGGGATGGTGACCAAAACCCTGAGGGAAGTTCGAAAGTCGGATGCCGGGAAGAAATGCAGAGAGGAAGGGGCAAGAAAGGGAGGACCCCTGCTTCGAATGGAGAAGATAGGACAATCAACTGGTTACCTGAAATGTTTGTACACTAATGCGAGAAGCCTGGGCAACAAACAGGAAGAACTGGAGGCCCTGGCCCAGACCAAGAAATATGATTTAATTGGGATAACAGACTTGGTGGGATGACTCGCGTGACTGGAGGGCTGTCATGGAAGAGTATAGACTGTTCAGGAAGAACAGGCAGGCACTGTCATGGAAGGGTATAGACTGTTCAGGAAGAACAGGCAGGGGAGAAAAGGAGGAGGAGTTGCACTATATGTAAAAGAGCACTATGATTGCTCTTAACTCCAGTATAAAGAGGGAGAAAAACCTGTTGAAAGTCTATGGGTTAAGTTTAAAGGAGCAAACAACAGCAGTGATGTTGTGGTTGGTGTCTGCTACAGGCCACCGAATCAGGTGGATGAGGTAGATGAGGCTATCTTCGGACAACTGAGCGAAGCTTCCAGATCGCAGGCCCTGGTTCTCGTGGGGGACTTTAATCACCCTGACATCTGCTGGGAAACCTATACGGTAGTACACAGGCAATCCAGGAAGTTTTTGGAGAATGTTGGGGATAACTTCTTGACACAGGTGCTGAAGGATCCGACCAGGGGCCGTGCGCAGCTTGACCTTCTGCTCGCAAACAGGGAGGAACTAATAGGGGAAGTGGAGGTGGGTGACAACCTGGGAAGCAGTGATCATGAGATGGTAGATTTCAGGGTCCTGACCAAAGGAAGAAAAGAGAGTAGTAAAATACATACCTTGGACTTCAAAAAAGCAGATTTTGACTCCCTCCGAGATCTGATGGGCAGAATCCCCTGGGATGTTAACATGAAGGGGAAAGGAGTCCAGGACAGCTGGCAGTATTTTAAAGAAGCCTTACTGAAGGCACAGAAAGAATCTATCCCAACGCGTAGCAAAAGAGGTAAACATGGTAGGAGACCGGACTGCCTTACAGGGGACATCCTTGGTGAACTTAAGCACAAAAAGGAAGCTTACAAAGAGTGGAAACTTGGACAAATGACCAGGGAGGAGTTTAAAGGTATAGCTCGAGAATGCCGGGGGGTTATCAGGAAGGCAAAAG